TGAATGGGACAGAACTATAAAAATGATGAAGAGAAACAGTTACTTCGGTGAGTTATCCGTATATTTTTAAATGAAGGCTTATCTATATAGTTTTACTCTGCGATAGCAATGAGCTGTCTAATATTTTAGTTCAAGACACTGAAAATTCCCTTCTAGCATGAATTTAAATGTAATAATTTCCAAGAAAAAAAAGGATACTACAATGTAAGGACTTATTCAGCAATACATCTGATCAGGTTATGAAGACTTTTAATTTCAGATTCTACTTAGTAATTACTAGTAGTGCTAATGCTTAACAAATTGTATTTCACTACCTACAAAAATTATATAGAACTTCCTGTGAGCATTTTATCAAAATACACCACGCAATCAATACCAGGAGAAAAAAAAAGGGTTCCCACCACACGCACTCAGCCCACCTAACCTGGCCAAAAGTCAGACTACATGCGGCAATGCGAGTGGAGTCCCGCATCAGAGCCACAGTTAGAATCCTGGGCCGCCTCCAACCCAGCTCCCTGCTAATGTGCCTGGGACAGCAGCAGAAGTTGGCGCAAGTGCTTGGGCCCCTGCACCCACGTGGGAGACCCGGAAGAGGCTCCTGGTTCCTGATCGTCGCAGTCCTGGCTGTGGCAGCCATTTAGGGAGTGAACCAGCGGGTGGAAGACCTCTTTTTGTCTCTTTTCTCTGTCACTCCGCCTTTCAAATAAGTAAGTACACCGGAAATAAAGGCGGCTTTGTCACGTCGTAGACACTGAGGAAAGCGCGGCTGTCCCAGTCCTGCCCCGCTCTGGAGAACCCAGGCCCAGGCCGGCTCCGAGCGCTCAGTCGGGAGAGGGCCCTCCTCCCGCCCCGGCAGCTGGCCGGAGCAGTCCAGCTCGCAGGCTCAGGCAGCGGTCCCGGAGTTACCCATTAACAAGGTTGGGGCCTTGGCTCCTGGCGAACTTGACTCTCAGAGTGGGGCTGATGTCCCCATCACCGTCTACTCTGTAATGGAGCAGCGGAGCCCCAAGAAGCCGGCAGCCAGACCTCTCCAGGGCGAGGGCGTGGGCTTGAGCGGCCTTGACCCCAGGACTTTCCCAGTCCCACTTCCAGACCTGCCCCTCCTGGAAGCCAGAGCCGTTCACGTGGACACCCACGGCCACGCAGCCGCGAGGTCCACATTGCCGAGATGGTGGGGCGGCGCAGTTCTTCAACAAGAAGCACCGGAGACAAGTTTCGGTGAACATGTCCAGTTTTTTTTATTAATGATCAAGCATAAGCTTTTAAAGGGCAGGCAGGGGGTGTAGCTACTTCAGGGCCACACTGATTCTACAGGATAGAGCGATATTGGCGCCGCTATGCTTCTCCAATCAGCTTGAAGGCCACGTAGGCTCCCAGGTGGCCCAGATGGGCCTGGGCCACGCCCGGGAGCTGTTTGCCTGATTGGCAATCACAGGGCCCTTCCATGGGGTTGGGGGTGGGGGAAAGGTGCGTGGGCTCGTGGCCCTGCCAGCAGTCAGGTCAACCTCCTGCGTGGGCTAGGCAGGCGATCCCCCAGCCAGGCGCAGGATCACCCACACATCTGTTCTGTCTACATGCACTTCCTTGGTGCGTCTAGTCTGATAGCTTTAAATACTATTTATATACATAACAGCTTCCAAAACTGTACTTCCTGCTACAGCTTCTTCCTAAACCCTTCATATCCACGACTTCCTTCCTACTTCTACACCTGACTGTAAGATGTATCACAAACTTAAGATGCCCCAGACACTCCATATCCATCCCTCAGCGGGCCTAACTGCCCCTCAGCTCCCCCGTTGCCCCAGCGTGAATGAACGGGAATTCTGCGCTTCCAGTTACAGTCATGCTCAGGCCTCTCACGCTCTCACATCCCACGTGCTTGGGATTAGCCAAGTGGTCTTGACTGTGTCTTCCAGAAATATCCAGAACACACTTCTCACCATTCTCCATCATCACCTTATCCAAGCGACCACTAACTCTCACCTGGATGGTAACAGTGGTTTCCAGCACAAAAGGCCCACAGAAGGACGAGGAATAGCCAGTGAGTGGACTTGGCGACGTGGAGGCCCCCGGTAACCTTGACATGACTGCCTTGCCTGCACGAGGAACCGGACCCACTCTGCAGTGGCCTCCTGTGTGCTCCCCGCAGCGCATCTCCTGATCCAGAAACAACCCACCGCGGGAATTCCCACTCCACTGTTCCTTCTGCCTGAATTCAGGTGCCTCTTAAGATGATAAGCTGGGGGGCCTGGCGCCGCGGCTCACTAGGCTAATCCTCTGCCTGCGGCGCTGGTACACCGGGTTCTAGTCCCGGTTGGGGTGCCGGATTCTGTCCCGGTTGCTTCTCTTCCAGTCCAGCTCTCTGCTGTGGCCCGGGAGTGCAGTGGAGAATGGCCCAGGTGCCTTGGGCCCTGCACATGGGAGACCAGGAGGAAGCACCTGGCTCCTGCCTTCGGATCGGCGCAGTGCGCTGGCCGTTACAACCACTTGGAGGGTGAACCAATGGAAAAGGAAGACCTTCTCTCTGTCTCTCTCTCTCTCACTGTCCACTCTGCCTGTCAAAAAAAAAAAAAAAAAAAAAAAAAAAAAAAAGATGATAAGCTGGGGCCAGCGCTATGGTGGAGCAGGTAAAGCCGCCACCTGCAGTGCCGGCATCCCATATGGGCGCTGGTTCAAGACCCAGCTGCTCCACTTCCGATCCAGCTCTCTGCTGTGGCCTGGGAAAGCAGTAGAAGATGGCCCAAGTCCTTGGGCCCCTGCACCCGCGTGGGAGACCCGGAGGAAGCTCCTGGCTCCTGGCTTCGGATCAGCCCAGCTCCAGCCTTTGCGACCATTTGGGGAGTGAACCAACTGATGGAAGACCTCTCTCTCTGCAACTCTGCCTCTGCTTCTCTGTAACTCTGACTTCCAAATAAATAAATAAATCTTTAAAAAAAAAAAAAAGATAAGCTCTGAGTGATTTCTCCTAATGATAAAGACAGCTCTCAGCAGTACCCCCGCCTCCCCTGTATTCGTCCTCACTGCGTTCATCACTGTGTGAACATACCTGCTTACTGGATGTCTCTGCACGCCCTACACACACTGGAATGTAAGGGGCATGAAGGCATCCTACAACTATGTCAGAAATAGTGGCTACTCGTCAAATACATGCTCAATGAAAAAATAAATGCCTTCGTCTCAAACACAGACATGACCGCCAGGAACCTGCAACCATCCTCAACTCTAAGGAAGTGGTACCTCGAGCCCTAGGTATGTGGGCACACACTATTACGAATTCCTACGCCGAACGTCCCTCTCTTCGAAGACATACGGTAGTGCTTCCGCCCTAGCTCGGCTCTCGCTCAGATCTCGGGAAGGAGGGGCGGAGGGCCATGTCATCATTGTGCGCCGGCCTGCCCCGCGACGCGCCGGCGGCTGGCGCAGCCTTTCGCTCGCCCGGCCTCCCCCTCCCTGGTTCCGCGCTCTGGTTCCGCCATGGAATCCAACAAGGATGAAGCCGAGCGTTGTATTAGCATCGCCCTCAAGGCCATCCAGAGCAACCAGCCCGACCGGGCCCTCCGCTTCCTGGAGAAGGCACAGCGGCTGTACCCGACGCCGCGAGTTCGCGGTGAGTGTCAGGTGCCGAGAGACGGAGGGACGAAATTGGAACTGAAGGGGGGAATACGGGAACGGACCGACGGGAGCAGTTGGGGGAGGGGGAGGGGTGGCGAGGCGCGGCTACGCCTGCGCACTGCGTCGCGCGGTGGCTGCTGGGAGGTGTAGTCTTTCCCTCCCTCGCTTGCTTGGGATGCTGGACGCCTGAAGATCGGGGTGTCGGGGACGTCGGCTTTCGGGGTGCTTGCAGACCGCTGTGGGATCTGACACTCTGGAAGATGCGATGCGCTGGCGGACGGGGCTCTTGGAGCTTACCGGGGAGCAAACTCGAACTACTTCTCCCAAGGGTCCTTTGGGTGGCCCAGGGCCAGTTGCCGGCCTGGGAAATATTACAGTTAGGGAAATAAACATAACTTCTCTGAGGGAGAGAAAGGGCTCTCGAGAGAAGGATTTTCGCCTCTCGGGCGCCCTGGAGAGGTGCCTCCATGTCTTCGCTCCCCCGCACGTCTGTTGGGCAGGGCCAGGGACCAGCCTCCCGAATCAGGAGCCTGCGTGTTTGCCCCCTCCACGCCACCGCCGGGACGGCCGTCCTGAGTCCTGGCCCCTCGCGCCCTAGGATGGACTTCGGGGCTGAGGGCCCTGGGTGGGGTGGGCCCTAGGGGCGGCTGCTGCGCGGCCCTGGACTGAAAACTCCCAAGCCGAGCGCGGAGTAGCGAGCTTGTCTCCCCTCATCCCCTCACTTCACCCAGAACCCCTTCAAACAAACGTGCCGGCGCTGGCCTGGCTCACAGCAGGCCCTGGGAACGCCGGGCTCGCTCGGCCTGACCGCCACCCGCGGACCCTCCTGAGCTGGCCTTGCTCATCAGCAGGATGGGAGGCTGGCACGGGTTCTGCGGGTCCCAGCCGTGCCCACAGGGCCTTTTAGTTTAGAGAGTTGGGGAGACAGAGCAAGGAGCAGCGTCGTCGCTCCGTGGATGAGAGGCCGTCCCAGAGAGACTTGCCCAGGATTCCACAGCTGGGCGCTGGGGAGTTCTGGGACTCGGCGAGGGGTCGCTGAAGGAGGGCTGTGAAACTGAAGAGCTGCCGGCAGCCTGCTGAGCCTGCCCGGGTTATGCAATGGCGCCTGGAGAAGGCTGGCAGCAGAGGCGGCTGGAGCGCCTGAGCCTCCCTCCCGCCTGACTCTGCAGGTTGATCTTTGGCCTGTTTGCCTGCTCTTGGAGAGAGTTCAGGGTGTGTTTGCCAGGCCTCCTGGGTAACCTGCTCGTGAAGCTTCTCCACGCAGTAAGCCACGTGGTCTAAGTGGGGCGTCCTGGGGCTCTGGACCTCCGGCTGTTGGCTGTCGGTGTTCTCACCCTGCTTGCTGGGGCTCAGGAGGAGGCAGGAAAGGAGCAGCCACAGGTCTGGTGTGTGTGTGTGTGTGTGTGGTGGGGGTCATGCTGTCCACCTCCTGTGCCCGTTCAGGGGCTGGGGGGTGTCCTCCCTGCAGCTCAGGCAGGAGAGTCGCCGGCTGTGTGTGTGTTTTCACTCTTCTGCCTAGAGCATGTGCCTCATGCATCGCCTTGTGCCCTCACTAGCCCTGCGCTGAGTTGACAAGGACCTGGGGTTAGCCTGGACCAGGGACAGGGAAATCTTGGCTAAGAAGTCTTAGATGGTTGTCTACACTGGGTGCTTTGGGCTTGGGCTCATTTCTGATGCTCATTCAAGGCAGCAGACTTCTGTGGGAGATCTGCTTGCTGTGTTGTTTGTTCGCAAAGTTCGGTGCTTCGTGCCAAGTGGTGTGGTGGCGCTGGTGAGATGTGAGCCCTTGCTTCGGAGAGCTTACGGCCTAGTGAAGGAGACAGAGTTATGTGGGGAAACTACAGAGCAAAAGGTCCTGACTGTAACTGAGCAGAAATCCAGTCCGCACCATCCATGGGTGCACGGTGGGTGGGGCAAGTGTAGGGGACAAGCACGTTTGAACACGAAGCTGTGAGCTGTGCAGTCGGTGCTATTGCAAGGGCGTAAACATAACGTTACTCCACCAGAGGGAAGGCCGTGGAGAGTAAGATGGGAGACCGCATTTCAGGTGTGCTTTTAGGGGAATTTGAGGCTTAGAGAATGAAACAGTGGGAAAAGACATGGAGGACAGGGAGCCGGCACTGTGCTGAAGCGGGTAAAGCCACCACCTGCCGTGCATCCCATATGCACGCCGGTTCGAGTCCCAGCTGCTCCACTTCCGATCCAGCTCTCTGCTATGGCCTGGGAAAGCAGTGGAGGATGGCCCAAGTCCTTGGGCCCCTGCACCTGCGTGGGAGAACCCGAAGAAGCCCCTGGCTCCTGGCTTCAGATTGGCGCAGCTCTGAACCAGCGGATGGAAGACTTCTCTCTCTCTTTCTCTGCCTCTGCCTCTCTGTAACTGTCTTCCAAATAAATAAGTAAATCTTTAAAAAGGGGGGGGGGCTGGGAGGGGAAGATGGGTGGGGAAGGGGGTGCTAGTGGGATGTTCCAGAGGGGTTGTCAGTGTGGGACTCAGGAGAGACCTCAGGCTCCACGTGGAAGTCTGATAGCGTCTGCGTGACGGAGCGTATCAGAGCTGTGTGTGGCGAGGGTCACTGTGGGGACGGGTGGGACAAGGAGAGAAGGCTGCTGCAGGTCATTGTGGGCAGAGGCAGAGCGAGACAGAGCAGCAGCAGGAAGAGGTCCCAGGAGGTGGCAGCGGCCGGGTCGCCATGGAGAGGCGGATCAAGGAGGCGGTGAGCAGCGGCGCTGTCCGATGCTGCGGAGGCCACCTGGGAGAAGGCCAAGCTGAGAAGTCAGAGAAGGATCAGGAGCAGTTGTGGAGCGCGGCATTGGAGAGGTAGAAGCTCGCGTGGAGGGAGGGGCTGGAGAGGGAGGCTCAGAGCCACCTGGAAGGACTTGGCCTTCTCCACGTGACCTGAAGCTGATGCCATGGGAGGTGGCCAGGGAAGCCCTGGGGGCTGGATGGTTGCACCGTCGAGCAGTAGCTGAACTCTCAACTGGGAGGTCGCAGAGCAGGGGTGATGGACCTGGTTAGTCCCTTCCTGGGAGTTTCTGTCTAGCACCTGGCTGCCTGAGAGCCATTGGGTTTTCTGGGGGCTTAGCAGCAATGGTGGAAGGTACCAGATTTTCTAAGGAGCTCATGAAAACATCTGTAGGCCTCAGTTTCCCCAGCATGCAAAGAAGGTTGGCCAGCGCGGGCCCCAAGGCTGCCTGAGGTCTGGGCCTGGCTCTGGGCCCCGGGCTAAGTCAAGAAGGCCAGGCTGCATGAGCAGCCCACAGAGAGGGCAGGGTCGGCGTCAGAGAGGGAGCCACTAGTGCTGGCGAGGCCCAGCGTAGGGATGGCCGCTCAGTCTCGGCCGCCGCGAGCCCCATGCTGCACCCCCCGCCCCTTTCTCTTTGTTACTGAGTCTCGTGCCACCTGGGAGCAGCCCCGTGATGGATGAGCTAGCTTGGCAGGGGCACACAGCTGATTAGCAAAGGACTGACCGGTGTCCACGCCATCGGGACAGGCTCCCTCCCCACTCCGACCTCTGAGATCCTGAAACCCCTGCTTGCCTAAGGACAGAAGCAGCAGTCACACATACTGCACAGTGGTGGTCGCTGGGCATTGTGCTGAGTGCACTCACTCTCAACCCTCATGAGGGAGGTACTTTTAAAAAAAATTATTTTTACCTATTTGAAAAGTAGAGAGAGAAAGCCCATCTGTTGGTTCTCTCCCTAAATGCCTGAACAGCTGGATCTGTGTCTGGTTCAGAGCCAGAGCCAGGAGCCGGGACCTCCGTCCAGGCTCCCACGTGCGTGGTAGTGACCCAGTCATCACAGCCTCCCAGGGTCTGCATTGCCAGGAAGTTGGAATCAAGAGCTGGGGACAAGTGTCCGACGCAGGCACTCCGAGGTGGGACACGATGCCTCAGCCACTAGGTCAGGTGCCCACCGCAGGGAGACAGTTCTGCACGGAGAAACTAGGATGCCCCTGCTGGCAGTGGCAGAGCAAGTTTGAAACAGCCAGGCAGCCTGACTGTCTATGCTTGCGAGGGGCAGCCCCTGCTGGCCGCGGCCTCCACCTCCTCTGCCGCCTTCCCAGCTCCACCTTTGTCTTCTCCCCTTGGTTTTCTAGGAAGAATCAGAGCGGGCTTAGCATGAAGCTGTTACGTCTCCTAACTGTGGCATGTCCTGTCGGCCACTGTCACTGGGGAGGTAGCGGAATCGGGATGAAGCAGACATCCCACGGGCCTGGCGTGGGGGTCGCCCAGGCCGTGAGAAGCACCTGCTCGCCAGCAGCCAGGAGACGAACTTCCTACTCGAGCGGGGAACTGCAGTGTGACCCAGAGCACATCCATTCCCCGTAGGGCTCTCTTCCATCGGTGTGGCCAGATTCGAGTGGCTGACCCCATGTCACTGCCCTGAACAACTTCCAGAATCTTCCCTGAGAGGTACTGAGGAGAGCCCATCCGTTTCCTGGCTGATGCTTCTGTGTGTCTGTGGTGATTGGATGACTGCTAACGTTGACCTTAAGATACGTCAGGCTCAGTCTAGACCACTGAACTGCCAGAGAAACTGGAAGAAACAACTTCGTTCATTTTTATTTCTTCATTTGAGAGACAGAGATCCAGTCTGCTGGCTTGCTCCCCAAATGCCCGCAGTGCCTAGGGCTGGGCTGAAGCCAAAACCAGGAACTCAAACCAGGTCTCCCATGTGGGTGGCAGGAACCCAGTGACTTACGCCATGACCGCAGCCTCCCAGGGTCTGCGTTAGCAGGAAGCTGGAGTCAGGAGCCTGAGCCAGGAATGGAACTCAGACATTCAGGGTGGGACCCTGATCTCTGCTGCTGGGCCCAGTGCCCACCCCAACAACTTCCGTAAGAGCCCCCGGAAAAAGCAGCTCTGCTCCTTCCCACCTCAACCAGCGTCCCTTCGTCCGTTGCTTTCTTCCCTTGCCAGTCCTCTTGGTGCCTGCCTGGACTTGGCATTGGGCCTGCTGAGATCTGGTCCAGAGCCGGCTGAGTGCCGAGACTTGGCCTTCCTAAGCCTTGGAGCTCCTTCCAGCCTGCCCCCCACCCCCACTGGGGTTCCGCCACCTCCCTGGCAAGTCTGCTCCCATGGCCGCTCATGTCATCTGCCCAGGTCCTAGCAGCTGCTTGTTTTGAACTTTTTTTTTCTTTTGTAAGGATTTATTTATTTGACAGAGTGACAGAAAAAGGAGAGAGAACCTCCATGTATGGGTTCACTCCCCAATGCCCACAGAAGCCTGACTAGTCCCAGCTTAAGCCAGGAGCTCCATCCAGGTCTCCCACTGAGTGGCAGGGCCCTAAGCACTTGGGCCATCAGCTGCATCGTAGGCCCGTTAGCAGGAAGCTGGATCAGAAGTGCAGAGTAACCATGGTCAGGATGACCCACCTCCAACATGGATGTGGCTGTCCCAAGCAGGGCCTTAGCCCGCTGCAGCACAGTGCCAGCCCCTCATGTTGAATTTTCCCTCCGGTCCTTCTCTGGGCCATCCTTATACCACCGTTGTGAGGAAGCTGAGCTTCAGGTACATTTCATAAGCCAGCTAGTTAGTGGCAGAGCTGAAATTTGAACCTGGGGCTGTCTGAATCTAACATCCCTTCTATACTTGGAGTGACTTTGCTGGCAGCCCCTCCCCCCACCCAGACATGTGTGATCTGGAATAGCAGCACAGATAAGGGCTGGTCCTCCTGGGGTTCGCATGTCCCTCGGGCTGCCTGAGCAGCTGTGCCACTGTGGGCAGTGATGTGGGTAGTTAGTAAGGCCTGCCTTCTGGGCCGTTGTGACAAGCTCAAACTGATGCACGAAGAACATGTGATGGTGCCTGGCGCACGCGCATTGGGTGCTCCGTAATAGACCGATCGTCGGGACTGCCCCTCTGTCCCGGGGTGGGCTCTGCTATCAGCTCCTGCGCTTCGACTTCCCAGCTGCAGACTCGCCAAGCTTGCTGCCGTGGAGCTGCAGCGGCTCGGGTCAGAGCTCTGTTCCCTGTGAGCCCTGCTCCCGGCCCCGTGGGCGAGAGCCACGTGTGTTGCAGTAGTGGTTCTGAGTCCCAGCACAGCGCCGTGAGTGCAGCAGGCAGGTAGCGTGTTGGAAGGATGCTGGGAGCAGTCCAGGCAGTGCTGCTGTGACGTGAGATAGCACACACGCACACATGAGACGTGACACGGCAGAGGTCCAGGTGGACTGGGGCTCCTTACCGCACCAGGCATGACGGGGGAGGGGAGATCCTCAGAACTGATTTTGTGCCTGGAATATATGAGCAGAGGGGACTTCTGCCAGAGATTTGGGCCGTCCTCACTGAGTCAGCAGGCACCAAGGACTTGGATTTGGATAACTGACCTCATGCTGATGCACTGTGTCCACTCCGACATTAATGGCAAATGTGCGGGTAGGATGGGGTCTAGTGGCTGCCCTGAGAGCCTGGGGTGCCCGGGGACTGCCACAAACGTGGGGATCCTCACTGGGTGTGGATGGGATGACCTCGCATGGGTTATTGCCATCTAAGTTCATGCCACGGATATTTGGGGGGTGGCTGACTAGGCATTGCTGCGTCGTTTGCTACATTGTCATTTTCACTTTCCAAGTTCTCTCTCCCTAAGTCATCAACTATTGCCTGTGAGGCAGAGGCCTGGAATGACAGTCTCTTATCACTCACAGATTCATTATGTTTGGTAATCTGTGTGGGTTTCCAAGAGGGGGGTATCTTTCCCATGTTTGAGCCGCTTTCTAGCCAAAGGAAAGACAGCCACAGCACTGCTGCTGTAACAAAACAAATTCCTAGCACCTCAGTGGCTGATGGCATTCTGCAAGGGGTTCCCTACGTTAGATGAACATACAGTGGTCTATCAGTTCGTACGTATGTCCTGTGCTTAGTGGGGGACTTCCATGATTCGTTAGGTCAAGGCAGTATGCCCACACGGTGTCTCCGGAGCGTCACCTCTCTCGAGTAAGGGAAGATGACTTGGTTCTGAATTCTGGGATGATGAGTCCCTTATGTGAATTCGCTGGGCGAACCAAAAAGGAGGAGCCAAGAAGTGGCGTTACAATTCTGGATGGTGTGTGCCTAACCTGGGGTCACTTTGACCAAGGACAAGGAAAGGGGCGTAGGAGGGGTTCTGTGTTCACCCTCACAGAACCAAACAGCACACAAAACACCTAGTGGCCTACTTGCCGAAATCAAGGGGAGACCTCACCAAGTCTGACATGCTGTCTCTCAGTCACGTTGGTGCCAGATATTGCTGTGGATTCGTTCTGAGAGGAGAAGTGTGGTGGGGGCAAGAGGTGTGGAGTCACCACACAGACCCCGGGAGTCAGGTGAAAGCGGGCCAGAGGCAAGCAGCCTGCAGACTCATTTATTTCAGTTAGTACAGCAGCTTATATAGCCAAGGCAGCCAATCTGGTCAAGGGGCTGTTTATACCCTAACCAATCACAGCCTGTTGCTAGGCAGTTTCTGAAGCCATCCAATCACAGCCTGTTGCCAGGCAGGCTCTGTGGCCAGGGGCTTTCCAAAGCCATTCCTGAGTAACTGATGCTCGCTTGCCAGCGGCCATTTTGGCATGGCCTTCTCATTCCACCACACATGTGCTTGGTCTCTGTCCCCTTGAGGGAAACCCAGGTTGAGTTCCTAGCTCTTCACTTTTGCCTGGCCCAGCTGTTGCTGTAGGCATTTAGGAAGTGAATCAACAGATCAAAGTTCTGTCTGTATGTCTCTCTCTCTCTCTCTCTCTCTCTCTCTCTCTTTCTTTCCCTCTCTCTGTCTCTCTGCCTTTCAAATAAGTAAGTAAAAACAAGAACTTTTTTTAGAATAAACTTAGGAAACACTGGCACAGCGGTTTGGTGCAGTAAAAAAGTTGTGCCTTGGAACCCCCACATTCCAGATTGGAGTGCCTGGGTGCCAGTCCTGGCTCTGCTTCCGGCTCCAGCTTCCTGCCAGTGTGCACCCTGGGAGGCGGCCGTGATGGCTGCAGTACTTGCATCCCAGCCACCCATGCGGGAGACCCAGACAGAATTCCACACTGACTCCAGGCTGTGACCTGGCCTCCTTGGGCTGTTGCAGGCTTTTGGGGAGTGAAACTGGATAGAAAAATCTCTCTGTCTCTGACTCTCTGCCTCTCTGCTTTTCAAGTAAAATGAAAATAAATAATATTTTAAAAATAGAAAACATTAAAATTAGTACTAACTTACTGCTGATATGATATTAGTCTTTATACTAATGCAGATTTACTGTGAAAGTGTTTTAAAAAAGCAAAGATACAGGCCAGCGCCGTGGTTCACTTGGTTAATCCTCTGCCTGAGGCGCCGGCATCCCATATGGGCGCCAGGTTCTAGTCCCGGTTGCTTCTCTTCCAGTCTAGCTCTCTGCTGTGGCCTGAGAAAGCAGCAGAGGATGGCCCAAGTGCTTGGGCCCTGCACCCGCATGGGAGACCAGGAAGAAGCACCTGGCTCCTGGCTTCAGATCGGCACAGTGCCAACTGTAGCGGTCATTTGGGAATAAACCAACAGAAGGAAGAGCTTTCTCTCTTTCTCTCTCATTCTCTATAAATCTACCTGTCAAATAAATTTAAAAAAAAAAAGATACAAACAGGAAATAATAGCAGATAGTGCAATTAACTGAATATTTTGAATATTCAAAATGTGGGGTAGGACCAGCACTGTGGCATAGCAGGTAAAGCTGCCATCTGCAGTGCCGGTATCCCATGTTGGCACTGGTTTGAGTCCTGGCTGTTCCACTTCGTGTCCAGTTCCCTGCTATTGTGCCTGGGAAAGCAGTAGAAGATGGCCCAAGTCCTTGAACCCCTGCACCTGCATGGAAGACATAGAGGAAGCTCCTGGCTTCTGGCTTCAGATCAACCCAGCTCCAGCCGTTGTGGTCATTTAGGGAGTGAACCAGTGGATGGAAGACCTCACATTCTCCCTCTGTAACTCTGTCAAATAAATAAATAAATAAATCCTTTTCTTTTTTTTTTTTTTTTTTTTTTTTTAGATTTTATTATTTGAAAGTCAGAGTTACACAGAGAGAGGAGAGGCAGAGGGAGAGAGAAAGAGAGGTCTTCCACCCAATGGCTCACTCCCCAGTTGGCTGCAATGGCCAGAGCTGTGCTGATCCAAAGCCAGGAGCCAGGAATCTCCTCTGTGTCTCCCATGCAGGATGGGCCATCTTCAACTGTTTTCCCAGGCCATAGCAGAGAGCTGGATAGGAAGTGGAGCAGCCGAGACTTGAACTGGTGCCCATATGGGATGCTGGCACTGCAGGCCAGGGTGTTAGCCCGCTGTGCCACAGCGCTGGCCCCATAACTAAATCTTTTTTTTTTTTTAATGTGGGATAATGCAAAAAGAAGTGTGCAAATTTGAATGAGTTCAGTAGAAAACCTGAATTAAAAGCAAATACATCGAAGGAAATAAAGTAGAATTCAGTGAACTCTAAAGTGTTTATGTATGTGAAAGGCAGAGTGTCAGAGGGAGAGGGAGGGACAGAAAGAGATCTCCAACATGGGAAGCAGGCCACACAGCAGACTCAGAATCTTTCCTTAGGGCAGAGTTGGTCTTGTGTATATAAAGTTAATTAAAAATGAATCTTAATGAAGAATGGGATGGGAGTAGGGGTGGGATGGCGGGTATGGGAGGAAGAACTGTTATAGTCCTAAAGCTGTACCTATGAAATTTATGTTTATTAAATAAAAGCTTTCTAAAAATATATATAATTTTCAAAAAGACAAAAAAAAAAGAGAGAGAGAGGGATCTCCCATCTGCTGGTTCACTCCCCAAATGGCCACAACGGCCGGGACTGCACCAGGCTGGAGCCAGGAGCTCCATCTTAGTCTTCCATATGGGTGGCAGGGGCCCCAGCACCTGGGCCGTCTTCCACTGCATTCCCAGATGTATTAGCAAGAAGCTGGATCAGTAAGTAAAGAGGAGATGAATATACTTGTTTAAATATACTCTCAGGAAAATAAAGTAGAAATATAGATTTATCCGTGAATTTAGTGTTAACTTTCATTAGTAATGCCGTGCGTGCAGAAAACAGACATGGCCTACAGCCTGCCTCCTCCTGAGGACTGTGACGCCTCAGAGAGCAGGTGACTTTACTCCACTGGCACGCACAGGCCCACAGCAGGGAGGAGCGAGTGGCATTGCTGGGCAGGGATGCGGGGGCCCGGCCTCTCCTGGGCCACACAGTCCCTTGGCCGAGTCACACAGCCGTGCTGGAGCAGGAGCCCTCAATGCTGTCCTTGTCCTACACAGCCCTAATCGAGTCCCTCAACCAGAAGTCACAGTCTCCCGGGAGCCAGCCCCACTCCACAGACGCGCCCCATGCCACCCACAGGAAAGCAGCGGGGCCCGAGGGCCCCTCCGCCAACGGAGAAGCCGGAGGAGGAGAGAGCACCAAGGGCTACACTGCAGAACAAGTAGCCGCTGTGAAGAGGTAGCATGGTCCGGTGGGCCCTGGGATGGGCTGGGGGACGGAGGAGACTCACCAGGGGACCCCTGCGTACTTCCACAGGCCCTGCATAGTGTGGGAACCAGGACTCCACGGGTCCTCCCACCTGCACAGCCGCAGCATAGGCCCCTGCCACTGGCCCCTGCCCTGGCTGCGTGGGCCCGGGGCCTCTGACACGGCTCCATTTGTCAGAGATGGGACTTGGTGTCCCCGCCCAGATTCTCCCCAACCCACATCCCCGCCTCCGACAAAGACCTTTTCAGAGCAGTGGAGCCTGGAAGCAGAGTGCCCTCCAGGGCTGTGGCGGGCCCTGCAGAGTGGCCACCAGGGTTCCCGGGGCCGGCGCCCGCTGCTGTCCTCGCTCTGCGGTCTGCGGAATCCCTCCGGGCTGTGCTCACCTGCTGGCTGCCCGTGGAGACGCTGCAGGCTTCCAGACGGGGGTTTGCCCGTGTGTGTCCAGGCACCTATAGAAGCATAAACTGGGCTTAAGCGTCTGTGACAGGCAGGGTTTTGACCAGCCCAGTCCATCAGTAGTAGCCAGTAGAAGCTGACTTTGGAGCAGCAGGCTATCTGCAGGGATCCAAAAGGTCGGAAATGGTGGGAGAGCCCCAGGGGTCTGATGGGCACCAAGAGACCACTTCCATTTCTGTTCCCCACTCAGGACGCCCGTTGCCGGGGGAGACAACGCCTGGTTGAGCTGGGGACACACTTGCCTTGGGTGGTAGTCCACAGAAGGGCAGGCCCGAGGCCACCACCAGTGAGCGAGCTGTCAGCAAAAGAAGCGCGATAGCAGCTGCCCTTCTTAAGTGCTGAACATGCTCTTGGTGTTGCCAGTGGGCTGTGCCCACAGTTGGAGTCCACTGTGGCTCCTTTGTCCCTACGTCAGGCAGCTGCCCTGGGGAGCCCTCTGCCATGCCCGGCTGGTCCCTCAGCCTGCCCAGGGCTGTCTGTGCCCTGTACCGCCCGTTCCTCCCAGCCTCACTGCACAGCTCTGAGCCCATGCAGGGTGCCCCATCCGTGCTCTTCTCCCTCCCAGGGTCAAGCAGTGCAAAGATTACTACGAGATCCTGGGCGTAAGCAGAGGCGCCTCCGACGAGGACTTGAAGAAGGCCTACCGCAAGCTGGCCCTCAAATTCCACCCGGACAAGAACCACGCGCCCGGCGCCACTGAAGCTTTCAAAGGTGAGCTGGCCCCACATCCTGCGCTTTGGCGTTCGCAGCTCCTGTCCTTGGAGGGACCGAGGGCCCCAGACAGCTTTCCCAGCAAGTGGAGGGCAGGACGTGGGCCCAGGTCCAGGTTCCTGGGGTGCAAGAGCCTCTTCCCGGAAGTGGGTCCTGGCAGCCACCTCTGGCTGTGGAGCATCCAGCCAGGCTCAGATGGACTGCCCCTGCCTCCCCGGGGTCACAGGACAGGAGCTGAGCCGAGACTTCCAGGGCCTTCTCCAATCACACGGTGGGTGAGGGGAGGCGTGGACCTCCTGACTGGCCCTTGGGTGCTTCCCGTTAGGCAGCGGTCTCACTGTGCTGGGGGCAGAGAAGCCCCAGGGCGGGACCTCTGGCCCAGTGGCCTCATCAGTGCCCCCCCATCCCCACACCCCCACACACGCATCCCTCAGCCTGCAGGGGAGCAGCCTCAGGGACTCTGTGTGGGGATGGGTGCGTTACTTCCGGCTGAAATTGTCAGCTGCATTCACCTGTCCGTACCGACTCTGTGCCTGCACTGTGTTTCTGGGCTCTTCACTTGCTTATTCCCCAGACATCTCTGTCCCTCCGACCTCCCCGTCCACCTGCCCTGGGAGGCGGCGCAGTGGCTGGTCCCCGTCCACCTGCCCTGGGAGGCAGCACAGTAGCAGTCCCCGTCCACCTGCCCTGGGAGGCGGCACAGTGGCTGGTCCCTGTCCACCTGCCCTGGGAGGCAGCACAGTAGCAGTCCCTGTCCACCTGCCCTGGGAGGCGGCGCAGTGGCTGGTCCCCGCCCACCTGCCCTGGGAGGCGGCGCAGTGGCTGGTCCCCGTCCACCTGGCCTGGGAGGCAGCGCAGTGGCTGGTCCCTGTGGGCCTGGGCAGGGTGCTGTGCAGCGCTGGTCCATGGCCATAGCCAGGTGGGGGCCTGTAGCGGAGCAGCCCCCACAGCCTGCTGCTGTCTGCCAGAGGCCTGCCCTGCGGGAGAGGAGTGGGCCCGGGAGGCAGGACAGCCGTGGTTGATGTTCTTTGCGCTGACCTCTGCCAGCTGCCTGCCCCCGCAGGTACAGAGAGGCAGGACTCTCCCTGCTCACCCTCAGGGATTCCTGATGCTGCCATGGCCCACTCCTCCCAGTGGGCAGCTTGAGGAAAAGGAGCAGAGACCTGGAGGGCGCAGAGCTGGGGCCTGTAGGGGCACAGGCTTCCTACCCCAAAGCCAGGCGGGGCACAGAAGCTGGGAGCAGGCCTGCGGGAGGAGGGTCACCCCAGCTACGTGTCCCTGCTGCTTTCCAGCGCACGCTGAGGACGTCATGTATTGGGGTGGCCCCTGGTACACTGCAACTTGCGGATTATGTCGCCTCTAGGAAGGGCCGCCGCAGCCCATTGAGTGCCTTAGAGGAGAGGAGTGAGGATGGGGGTTTGGTGATTTTCATAAAGTCAGAAAACGGAACCAGGGGCCTGCGTTGTGGCCCAGTGGGTTAAGCCATCACGTGAGATGCCGGCATCCCGTATCAGAATGTTGGTTCAAGTCCTAGCTGCTCTGCTTCCCAGCTGGCTTCATGCTAATGCCCTGGGAAAGCAGTGCTTGGGCCCCTGCCAGCCACCTGGGAGACCAGGGCGGAGTTCAGGCCTTGAACTGGCCCAGAACTCCCTATTGTGGTCATTTGAGAAGTGAACCAGTGGATGGAAGGTCTCTCTTTGTCCCTCCCCCTCCCTCCCTCTCCTCTCTCTCTCTCTCTCTCTCACACACACACACACACACATACACACACACATACACATACTCCTTCTTTTAGATAAATGATAGATGGATTTTTTTTTTTTATTATTTGACAGATAGAGTTAGAGAGAGGTCTTCCTTCTGTTGGTTCACCCCCCAAATGGCCGCCACGGCTGGAGCTACACTGATCTGAAGCCAGGAGCCAGGTGCTTCCTCCTGGTCTCCCATGCAGGTGCAGGGCCCAAGCACTTGGGCCATCCTCCGCTGCCCTCCTGGGCCACAGCAGAGAGCTGGCCTGGAAGAGGAGCAACTGGGACTAGAACCCGGCGCCCATATGTGCCGCAGGTGGAGGATTAACCAAGTGAGCCACAGCACCAGCCTAGATAGATCTTTCTTAAAAAAGAAAAAGGAGTTTTGAGGCAAGACATGTCCGGCATCGATTCCAGGATTCCAGGCCTGCCGCTGAGAGCAGAGGCTTCGGCAGCCCCTGGCTTCTCTGTGCCTCAGTTTCCTCACGGGTCCAGAGTTGATGGGGTTTGTGTTAGGGGTCAGTGCACAGTGCCCGTGAGGGTTGTCAGCAGGAGGAGGGCGAGCGGCCTGGACCCTTGGCTGCCTGGGCGCCCAGAGTCACTCGGGAGTCTCCCACACTTGCAGCAGCCTTGCTTGCCACCTGCCCTCAAGCCTCCCGCTTCCTAAACCGCCCTCACAGAGCCGGAGCCAACAGCACCAAGCGCTTGGCTGTCGCTACCCCTCCCCCGCGTCCCTGGGCCTGACCGTTCGCCTGCTTTCCAGCCATTGGCACAGCGTATGCGGTACTTAGCAACCCAGAGAAAAGGAAGCAGTACGACCAGTTCGGCGACGACAAGAGCCAGGCGGCCCGGCACGGCCCTGGGCGCGGGGACTTCCACCGTGGCTTCGAGGCCGACATCTCTCCCGAGGACCTCTTCAACATGTTCTTTGGTGGTGGCTTCCCTTCCAGTGAGTTCCCCTCCCGGCTACGGCCCCATCCCCCTGGGGGTGATGGTGGGAGACCCAGTGCCAGCCTCCTCCTTTCCTTGTCTTTCCTGACTCAGCTCCTCTGACCCCCAGGTAACGTCCACGTGTACAGCAACGGCCGCATGCGCTATACCTACCAGCAAAGGCAGGACCGCAGGGAGAACCAGGGTGACGTGAGTGAGGAAGGCGCCAGGGAGAGCAGGGGGAGGACGCCGAGCCCACCCCAGGGTGCGGGTCCTGGAGGAGGGCGCTTTCTCCTGTGCTGTCCATTCTGGGCCCCACGGTGCCACCACAACCCTTGGCCAAGGAGCCATCCTGGCCGCTCCTGCCATTCTGCTGAGCGACGCCAGAGGGAGCCACACTCCACGTTGCCTGCAGGCGTGGGGCTTTG